ACTCTAGAGATATTATTTTCTGGTGCCAAGCTACACAGTCTGGTAAACGCTGCATGCTGCACGCCACACTCGCTCCCTGTATCTCTGCCAGAAACCAATATATGAATTTAAAAAGAAGTATAAGAAATATGGCCCAGGACTAAGGCTTGTGGGTACATTTCAAGTAGGAATTCTCTCTAACATTTAATGTATTAACTGCTCTCACAGCCGTAAGAAGCTGGTATAGGAGGAGGTCCATGTACACGTATAACATATATCGACACCATGGAGAAAGGGCAGGAAACAGAGTGTGTCAGACTGACCAAAGCCCATCTCCATTATGGAGGAAATGGTAAAACTTGGACCAATGCACTGTATGTCTATTAACTTAATAAGTCTAAAAGTGACTTTGCAGTGGTTCCTGAAAAGGAAGACGGGCATCTGAGAAGGTGTAGATGCTGAGGCACTGATGCAGGATCCATACTTCATGGAACAAGAGGACATCAGCATGTCATGACTGTCTCCACAAAATGGTCAAAAGGAGGAGACTGAAGGAAGTTTAGAATTAGTGCTTCCCAAAAAACCAAACTGTTAAGAGGTGAAAAAAGAAAGCAGTCACCTTCTTGCACTTCCTTTATGTAAGTAAGTAGAGTAGAGAAGAGCTGGGAGAAAGACAGACAGCCTTTTAGGACCTTTAACTGCATAATGAGAATAGATAATCTTTTAATTAAAGCCATAGGTGAATCAATTAGCAATAACTAATTTCAGCTGGTTAGACCGGGAGCTGCACTGCCATAGACAAGTTTATCTCCGAGGGCATCACTGAAATGCAATTGCTTACATCAGCCAGGGTTGGAAACAACTCCCAGATGGGGAATAGCTCAGATGTGGTTCTCATACTTCTCCTTATGTGTCCTGCACTGTCCAGGGCAGAGCCAGCAGACCAGGTGAGAGGACTTTTGAGCTGAGCCCCTTTTGATGTCCTTACATGCAGGAGGCTTAATATTTTAAAACCCTGTCATGGATTAGATAACTTTGGCCCAGAATCTTCTGTTATTCTTAATAAAAGTCAATAGAAGCGTGGAAAAGTACAAAATGTCAACCTATGATCTTATGAAATGTGTGACAGTAGAGAGAAAAGAAAGAAAACCCACCCTTTGGTACATTCTTCGTCCCTCATGCTGTGTTGAGATCCAGAAGTAGAAATCTTTTCTCAATACTAGGGCTTAGAAAGTCAAGAATTTTGTCTCTCTTTATTTTCATTACAGTTAGTTAAATCCTTAGGCTCCTGTTAACACTGAACTCTATGTTGATTTTTTGTTTAAATGCTGAAAACTAATTTTCGTTTAACAATTTTCTGTTTGAGGCCAACATCAAATTAGTGTGCTTTCCACTGGCAGACCCCAGTAATTTGGTAGGCAGGAGGCTCACACATACTTAAGTTATTCAATACATTTTGTTATACTCTGTACAAAAACCTAGTCAGAAAAGCTTGATTTATGATATTCCTCAGGTTTCCTGTTACTCTAAACCACTAACATCCTATGGCCAAGCCCTTCATAGGCAGCCAACACATCTGGCCCAGAATGGTTCTGTCACCTATCGCCAGAATGCCATATTTATAATCAAGACATAATAGAAAAGAAAGAAATTATTATGATGAAAAATAAAAAAAAATAAATAAAAAAAGTCAAAGTTATCAGTGGATATTTGCAAGTATGATTGGGCGTATTTTTTCAAAACATATGCCCAGACAAATAGAGCATGTAGCATACTGAGCAGGCCGATTAGATATGTATAATTATCTCTTCTAGCCTAATTATATACTACTGAAAGCTCTGATTTTTCCATTTCACACCTTTTAAAAGTCTATTTTGGCATTCATATATACAGGCAAACCACTCCTGGCTGAAGCCAAAACTACACAGTCCATCTGAAATCCCACCTTCAATTATACAACTGCTTGTAAGTGAGTCTGTTCCTTTCAAAGTGTTTTTTAGCTGGTCTCCTTAGGGATTTAAGGCTTGTGCAATCATTTTGTGCGTTGTATCTGTGTATCCATCTGTCAAATTTGATCAACGAGCTGAAGTATCCTAAAATACTAACTTCCTACATGTTTCATAACGATAGAGGCAGGTGTTTGGATTAAAGTCCTCTTTAAAGCTAAAGCTCAGTGGATGTCAATGTCTTGTCCACAGGGCAAAAAAATTAAGCTCACAGCACAAATCTTTAATTTTTCTCATAAAAATTCATGCTCAAAAAACAGCACCATAAACAAAAGTGTAGACAGACCTGTAAGTTTCTGACTGGTAGAGGCTGTGAATTTTGGGGCTGGCAGTAGGTGTAGGCTGGAATGAGGATAGATTTAAGATGTGTGTACTGCTAAAGGGCACAGGCAAAGTTGGACAGACTTTCTTCTCTGGAAGATGCATTTTACAGATATTCATTTTTACCAAGGGAAACATAAAAGAAACACATAGATGATAATGAACAGATTCTCGACCATGTTAAACCCTGGAGCACAGCTATGGAAACGTGCTGTAGAGGTTCAACGTCTTTGAAAATCTGATCACTGAGCATTTCTAATCAGCTTCCTCTGCCAAAGGGATATGAAATTTTCCAAATCTGTGCCAAACTCTGAAGTTCACAAACTGTTTCTCAAGTGGATAACCATGAAACCCTCCTCCACTTTCTAAATTACATCTGGTGGAGACAACTCTCTGTGTAGATAATACAATGAAAATGTTAAAGACTGTACTTGTTCTAAACTTTATTTTGCAAATGTGTTATAACATAAAAAGACATAATCTAAAGCAACTGCATGTTCACACATGAGAGTCCCAACAGCTTTGCCATTTTATTCTTAATTATCCCTGGTGGATAAACTAGTTGAAAGACTGAGCCAACTCATCCATCCCCAAAACCAATTGAGCAATGCTGATTTATATCACTTGCAATCCTGACTACATCTTATGAAATAGTTATCAATTAATTTCCTGCATAATCTGTCTCTGTTTCTCCAGAACCACACTAGAAGAGCAGCCTGACCTTTTTTGACCTCCAATTCAGCAAGCGATCTTCAGGCAGAAGATTATTTAAGCACGTGTTTAACTGCAAATGATTGAACATACCTTTAAGCCTCAGGTATGTGTCTGAGTGTTGTCAAAAAGGGACCTTGAAGGAAGCATCCACCTGTTTTGTATGTTTACTCAAGAAGATAATCACTGTACAACCAACAAAGGATTTACCAGCTCTTAATGGTAATAATGCCTCTTGTTGCTTCTTTTGGCAATAGTTTCGCAAGACTCTCAGAAGAATTAGATCACAGTCAGTCCCACCTGAGCTACATATTTCCTAGCTGAATAAGCAGGATGAAATTGGGCCGATGGTCATGTCTGCTGGAAGAATAGAGTGCTTTTCAGTGCAGTAAGACTGGTTCCAAGGGCACAGGGTGTTCAACCAGCCTCTTGCATCCCAGCTTTCACCCTCTGCCAAAATTACATCTCAGCAAGTGTTTTCAGTTCTGTCCTCACCATCGTTACCAATAATATGCAAACCAGAAAGACAAATTCATTCACATTTTAAATAGCAATCTCAGCAATATTAATTGCACAATAAAAAAGAATTTGTTCCAATTACTCAGCCAACTATTTATTTACGTTCAATTCTGAATTCATAAATTCTTGATTTGACATTTAAAAGCTATTTAAACAAACAGTAATCTTTTATTAGCAAAATGCCTAATCAGATGGGTTTTCTGAGCTATTTAAGCAGCTCTGAGAAATGCAAAGTCTCTTATGAATATTTTACTTCACTAAACATAACTTTTCCCAATGTAAGTCAAACCTGCATTGCTCCTCTATTACGTGAAGTTGATCAAAACCTTGCCTTCTCCTTTCAGTGCTGTTTTTAAAGAGAAAACAAAAACAGAGAGTAATCAAAATTAATTTTGAAGACAGCTGGGCTCATGAACAAGATTCTGAGCCTTCATTCATACCACTTATCCCTCCCTGCACACCAACCTCTAAACCATATGGAATAGTTCTTGAAATGGCATGTTGGATAAGAGGGAGGAGAATCAGAGAGTCATAGAACACCAGGTTGGAAGAGACCTCAAGGATCATCTGGTCCAACCTTTCCTGGCAAAAGCACAGTGTAGACAAGATGTCCCAGCACCCTGTCCAGCTGAATCTTAAAAGTATCCGGTGCTGGGGAGCCCATTGCTTCCCTGGGGTGATTATTTCAGTGGCTGATAGTTCTCACTGTGAAAAATTGCCTTCTAGTGCCCAGCTGGAATGTCCCCAGATTACATTAGGTTGTGCTTTCACAAGCAGTAGTATTTATGTTGTATTTTGGTAGTTCATTTACAAATATATATTTGAGTTAAACTGCCTTTCTGTTAGCTTCTACTCTCCCAGTTCTCCACTTGTAAAATAGGGTCGTTTCATCTCTCTCATCAGGCAAATACCTGTGCAGAAGCAATAAGGTAAACAGATATTGTTGTAATGGGAATCCAAAGAGTTATTCATTAGTATGACAGGTTTTTATTTAGCTCAGAACGACAAAGAGTAGGTGGAATGACCTACTGCAGAACCCATATTACTGACATTTTTATCATGTGGTGGTCTTGGCAGTCCTGGGGTAATGGTTAGACTTGCTGATTTTAAAGGTCTTTTCCAACCTACCTGATTCTATGATTCTATGATCGTGGGTTGCATGACCCCATAAATAGCTGGAGAAATAAGTAAACAAGAAGAAAAATTAAGTGCTGCAGTCTTGGGTACCTTTTGCTCTAGTTCCCAAGCACACATTTGTACCAGTGTGTTTTTATGTGTGAATAAAGTTTTTAAAAGAATAATGGTGCCATTCATGGAAGAAAGTGGTCAGGAGATAATTTCATATTTTCTGTATGTATCAAAACCAGACACATGTATTGCTGATAAAAGTAGAATAAACATTCAAGTACAAATATGCGTGTTGCACATTCATATTAAAAAGTTGCCCTTGGTGTTTCTTGGTAGAAGATTCATTCTTCATGGAGAAAAGCACAGCCAATGAGGCCACATTCTCCTGTCTTTAGACTTACTAAAGTAAAAGAAAAAAATAGGAGAGAAAAACAACTCTACAGACAGACATGAAGAACAGAAGCATGTCAGTGACCGCCTGAAGATACCACAGTAAGAAGAACTTGACCTAAGTTTCTAAAGAGGATCTTATCAGCTGGGGAGGACTGATACAGCAGGATTGATGATGCTGAAGTGCTTCTTGGTAATGACCTTTCTGCAGCCATTGACTTTTCTTTCACACAGTCTTTGGTAGCCTAACAACAATGGGAACTATTGTTTAGATAACTGTGATTTTGCTTCTTCCTTTTATCAAAGGATTTTAAAAACTGAAAACAGAGTTAATGGCAGATCTTGGAGTGTCCATACGTAACACAGATACAGACCAGGTACAAGAAAGCAGTGATTCTGGAAGATTTATACAATTGAATTGCTTCTTTATGCTGTTGATTTCCTGATGCTGCACCTATGAATCTGTCCCTTAGTGTTTATGATATATTTTCAGAAAATAAGATTGTACACCAATGTTAATTGTAATTATTTTAATTATCCCTTTTGAGGATTCTCTTGCTTTGTCTTCACATGGCATATGCATGTAAAAGTGTGAAATTGAGACACATACAAGGAATTATGGAAAATGTTGTATGTAATGTAAGATTTTTGACTAGGATCTGTGCATCAACCATGGCCATGGCCATCATGTAGTGGAGCAATTATCAGCATCAGCTTCATCTTAAAATTCTTAATTTTCTCTGCTTTTCTTACTTTACTATAGATATTCTTTCCTTTTTTATTTTTTATGATACTAATAAAAAAAAAACAGGAAAAAAAAACTTCATTGGAAATATCTGATCTATTCTCTGCTGGAAAAACAATATCCTGCAATAGATGGATGGCCATGTAAACACACCTCTGCCTAGCACAAAAAAAAACAGCCTGGATTCATGGGTATGAATTCAGATGGCATAGTGGGGAGGCAGGAGGACTTTTGCAAGGGATTAAGACCCCAGGTTTGAACCTCTAGGGATGCTGGCTCCAGTTCAGGCTCTAGCTGGGAGGCCAAATAAGTATGGTGGTCTCATTAGTCCTCATTACAAAAACTGACCACATGATTTGGTACCATCAGCAGCTCTTTGCTAGATAAATCCTGGACTAGAAAAACAAGGTTTACTGCAAGCTAGACCTGAGGTATGTTGACAGGGAGAAGTTTGCAGAAAGCCTGGCTGTACCAAGGCCAGTGTTAACAGTCTTTTTACTTTCATTTGCTCTGAATTCATTCATATATTTGCAATCTAAATGGTTTAAAAGTCAAGAAAGAAAGAAAGAAAGAAAAGAAAGAAAGAAAGAAAGAAAGAAAAAGAAAGAAAGAAAGAAAGAAAGAAAGAAAGAAAGAAAGAAAGAGAGAAAGAGAGAGAGAAAGAAAGAAAGAAAGAAAGAAAGAAAGAAAGAGAGAAAGAGGAAAGAGAGAAAGAGAGAAAGAGAGAAAGAGAGAAAGAAAGAAAGAAGAAAGAAAGAAAGAAAGAAAGAAAGAAAGAAAGAAAGAGAGAGAAAGAAAGAAAGAAAGAAAGAAAGAAAGAAAGAAAGAAAGAAAGAAAGAAAGAGAGAGAAAGAAAGAAAGAAAGAAAGAAAGAAAGAAAGAAAGAAAGAAAGAAAGAAAGAAAGAAAGAAAGAAAGAAAGAAAGAAAGAAAGAAAGAAAGAAAGAAAAGAGAAAGAAATTAAGAAAGAGAAAGAAAGAAAGAAAGAGGAAAAGAAAGAAAGAGAAATAAAGTAAGAAAGAGAAAGAAAGAAAGAGAAAGAAAGAAAGGGAGTAAAGTGGGATAGACAGACAGCTTTTGAATTATAAAACGTTTCAGGCCCCATACCTGGAAGTTTTATTGCTGTTCAACTAAATCCCTCAAGTCTATCTCTAAATTATCTGAATTAGAAAAGATGTAAATTTAATCAGAATACTGCCATCATTGTCTGAAATACAGGAACTTTATCTTCTGGTAGAATCATTGTATATGCTATCAATTATAAATAAACTTTTATGAAGAACTAGTAAATCAAGTAAGTAGTTTGCATTTCTTGAAAGAACGTATAATCGCATTTTTTTTTCCAGTTAAGCAATTTCAACATTTTAATCTCAGCAAACCGTGTTTATAAAAATTCCCTGGATTTCGTAACCATTTTGCAATACATTCTGCTGCATACTGCATCTGAACATATTAGGGTAAATGTATGTATATAGGCATCCCCCCTCTCCTTCCCAAGAGAGTCTCAAATGAGCCAGATATTCAGCTGATGTAAATCAGTGTTGTTCCAGATACTTTTAGACATGATATACTGCATTAAATCAGCAGTCAGCCTTCTACAACTGACTCCATCACTATGCCTGGTTGAAGCTGCAATTAAAGTCTGTGTTGCTCAGGAGTCAGTACCCAGCAGGCTCAGAGGATTAATTAGGTCTGATATTTATTTCTTTTGATACGAAACCCAGATGTGTGCAGTTAAGCCAAAAACCATAGGGAGAGCCATCCTGCTTTTTTTTCCAATGGACAGAGGAAAAGCAGTGTTGCCCACCCAGAATTAAAGAACAGAAGCAAATAATTATCATCATGGAACAATTTGGCGGCGACGTGGTTTCATAATCTGCTAAGCCACTTTACCTGCCTGATTATGAAATAATTCAGATGACCTCAACTTTTTTTTCTTACCAACTATTGTAAATATATATACACACACACTTGTGTTGATTTATTTGTCTGAAAGCTGGGAAGAAAAATACAGAGGAATACTCTTGCCCTCTATGGTTATAGAAATAAATCAGTTTGCATTTTGTTTTAAGTATATGTTCTTCAATGTGTTAATAAAAATAAGTGTCCATTCAGTAAAGAGTTTATTTTAAAATTAATTTAAAAATAAAGTAAATAAATAAATAAATTTTTAAATCTGGAAAACAGATAATGAAAACACTTCAAATCATGAGCAAGTGTAGTATCACCTTTTGTTCCCACAATGGACATGACATCTCCAGCAGGAAAATGTAGTTCAGGCTTTATCCTTAGAAAGATGTAGGATTCAGGGCATTTTAGATGCTGAGCTTTGTGCTGTGGGCACCCCTCTGGCAATCCTGTCTCACTCAATTCACTAAATTGGGCCAGCATCAGGTAAATTCTCATGAACCATGAAACAGCTTCATATGATATCAATTTGTGCAACATTTCTTATTTAGCCTTTTCTTTCAATAGGAAAAATGATTCACTCCCAATAGATCCAATTCAGATTTTTTTCATTATAAAAGAAAAGCAGAAATAAAGATGGTTTCCAACCTTCAGGTGAAAGTTGAGTTTTTTTAGATATGAGCCCATGCCTCCACTTCTTTTTCCAGTGACAAAATGTAAGAAGTAAAACTACAGGAGCAGAGATCACCCAAAACAAATACTAAAAGAAATATGCAAATATCAGACCATTAATGAATTTTTTCCCCTTATTCCACTTGAAAGAAAACTCTAAACATTATCAAAATAACATATAAAAATTCTTTTTTTTTTTTCCTCCTAATAATTTCTATTAGTCCTTTCTTATTGTGTACCTGTGTATTGAGTCAGAGTAATGAGTCTCCCATTGATTTCATGGAGTTTTGGATGAAATCCCTAGAACGGATTTAAGCCAGTGATCTAATGATAGAAGACTGGAAAGCCCATTCCTTTTCCCTGATGCAGCTAGCCAGTATATTATACTGGAGATATGCAACATTTTCCCCTCTGAATAATACTAATAGAACTTTGTAAAGACTAGTTTTTCTCTCTTTCTCACTGATTTCATCACTGTATTTTACAGCATCTTCATATTTTCGGTTTACAAGGGGGAAAAATGGACTAGAAAACAGTCAATCTACTTTTTTTGTTGTTGTTGGCTGTTTCTGATATATGTTTTTTGGGTATGCTGTCACAAGCAAGCTTTTGCATAGTTCCTGGAGCGTTTTCTCATTTTCTTTGCAGCTCATTAAGCTCCACATTTTTTTGTTCTTTTTTTGGGGGGGGGGGGGGGGGGACTTTATCAGCCCATCTATGGGGGCATCTCACAGGTCTCTGCAGCTCCAAATGTCAGCTGAAAAAAACAAGCACTCTCTTTTTAGTGGTTGATGCAAAGACACATCAGGACTCAGGCAAAAGACACAAAGAAAAAACCCATTCTATTTGGAGTTACTAGCAACTGCTACTGGTAGGTGTTCTAGTCCTCCCCTTACAGGTTCTGGAGAACATCAACCAAACTGACCTTAGAGAAGGGTACGACGTCCCTCTCTGCTCTCCCCAGGTCTCTGCTATGCTTAATACTGTCAGAAAAGTCTCCAGCAAACATTTGTAATTGCAGGGAGAAAGAACACTGCTGTCTTTATTTTTTTAACTTGACATCTATCAAATTTAGTTTAAGTGTTCCCCTGGGTCAGTCGAGTTGCTGAGCTATAAACTAAAAATAATTAAAATAAAATATTAAAAAACCTCAAGTCTGCTTGCCAAGAGGCATATCATTGGGAGGTTAACAGCTCTCAATCACGTATTTCAGAGTGCTAGAATAGCTGAAATAAGACAGGCAGTCTTAATACATCATAAAACTGTAATTCTTTGATGTTTTGATGCTACACGCTTCATTTTTGCACTTCAGGACAAAAACGATTTCTGTGACAGGCATTCAAAAACTAGATTTTTTTTTTGCTGTAATATTACAGGTAATATAATTTTATAGGACTAGCTTAATGAAAAGAAAAGGCAGAGGAAAGTAGAAGGAGTCCTTCTGATTAATATCTCAGATAATTAAAACCTTGTCCTGACAATTCCTATAAGGCAGAAAGTTACCTTTTCATACTATAAAAGATGACTGCCAATTTATTGACCCCAGCTGATGTATCAGCTCTCACCAGAATTGGAAATTCTAGTTACAATGACTTAAATTTTGGCTTAAGCCCGATCAGACAGACAGCATATTCCCAGACTGGTCACATTCATAAATGTCATAAAAAACATATTTGCTCTATGACATGCACAAAATAAAGTTCTCGAACAAGACATCTCTAAACCAGAAAGGCATGAAGCAAAAATCTTTAACCACGTGAGAGGGAATGAGGACTGCTAAGAATGGTATTTTGACATTGGTGGACTGAAGTAAAGCTTCTGCAGGCATAGCTTTAACATTGTTTTTATTATTTTTATTAGTCTTATAGGTCATAGAAACCACGTGAGGTAAGATGAAGAAAAAATCAGTCAAAACATGGTTCAGAACTTTGTGTAAGCTGTTCCAGTGTAAATTTAAAGAGAAAGAGTTAAGTCAAGATCACATTCAGGGGATCTGAGTAGAATCAGTCATCAAGAAGTTCATAATGTGCAACTGAAGAATCAACCTGGGTTGTCTAACCAAGTCCGTCAGAACCTAATGCTTTTGCTTTTCAATATGTATCTGCTTCACTTTATAGATTTATTATTATGCTTAGTGAAAAAATAGATGTTTGTCAATCCTTTCTGGAAAATGACATTTTTTTACAAGAAGTTGGCATTGCCAATATTTATATTTTTCTCCTTAAAATTTTGTAATGACTTTGTATTTTTGCAAACCCTGTTAAATACAGCAAGATTCTCCATGTGAAGATCATAGAGCCATAAAGTTGAGAGGATTGCCCGCACTTAATCTTCAAAAATAAAAAATTAATCTTTTCCTATAAAATAAGAATAATTTTAATTTTTTAAATGGAGCATTGCAACTAGCTTTAAATCAAAACGAGACACAATATCATTACCCTGCTCTTGTCAAAATTGCTGAATACTACCCTCCCCAGCTTTAAATGGAG